GGCCTAACGCCCCAGCCAGAGGCCTGAGGCCTGGGCAGGGGCCGAGCCGGGGATCGGTGTGAACTGCAGAGGAAACACCTTTTCTGACTGCTCATTGGCTGAGCTCCCTGTATGCCACTGGTAATATTCTTAGCAACTTGGGTAATAAGAATCCAAAAAGGTGATGTAGGGTTTTCCCACCTCACTCCTGGAGAAAAAAACAAAGGTCTGCTGCTGGAGGGCTAAGAAATGTAATATCCTGCCCTAGCCGGTTTGGCTCAGTGGATAATGCCTCGGCCTGCCTACCACAGGGTCTGGGTTCAATTCTGACCAAGGGCATGTACCTAGGTTGCAGGCTCTTCCTTGGCTGGGGCTCAGGTCAGCGCTCATGCAGGAGGCAACCAATCAAAGTGTTCCTCTTGCTTTGATGTTTCTCTCTGTCTTTCCCTTTCTCTTCCACATTCTCTAAAAATCAATGGAAACATATCCTCAGGTGAGGATAAAAAAAAAAAAATAATGAAGAAAGGTCATATCCTATGAAAGGTACATCTTGAAAATGCCTAAAGAAAGCTGTCATTTTTTCACGGTGAAGGGACTAGAGTCTGTGTTGATGAAAACACCTTGGTGTCTGTGGTGACTGGCAGTGGCTGCAGCAGTGGGGTGAAGGGGCTGGTGCCTTCCCCTGATCAGCCTGGTCGCCTCCCACAAAGGGAGGCCAGACTGTGGCTTAGGCCCACTCCCCAAGGGGAGCAGGGAGCAGGCCTAAGCCATCAGTAGGACATCCCCTGAGGACTCCCAGTATGTGAGAGGGGGCAGGCTGGGCTGAGGGACCACCTCCCACCCAGTGAATGAATTTTGTGCACCGGGCCTCTAATATATATATATATATATATATATATATATATATATATATATATACACTAGAGGCCCGGTGCACAAAAATTTGTGCACTTGGGGGGGAGGGAGGGTCCCTCAGCCCGGCCTGTGCCCTCTCGCATCTGGGACCCCTCGGGAGATAACGACCTGCTGGCTTAGGCCTGCTCCCGGGTGGCAGAGGGCAGGCCCAATCCCTAGGTGCAGCCCCTGTCATGCACAGAGCAGGGTGAATCGGGAGGTTGTGATGCCACCCTCAGTCACGCTCAGGGTAGGGCCGATTGGGGGGTTGGGGCACCACCCCTTGTCACACTCAAGGCAGGGTTGATGGGGAGGTTGCGGCGCCACCCCCTGTCACTCACAGAGCAGGGCCAATCAGGGGGTTGGGGCACTGCCCCCTGTCACTCACATAGCAGGGCCCAATAGAAGGGTTGGGGCTCTATATGTACCCTGTCACGCACAGAGCAGGGCCAATCAGGGGGTTGGGGCACTGCCCCCTGTCACTCACATAGCAGGGCCCAATAGAAGGGTTGGGGCTCTATATGTACCCTGTCACGCACAGAGCAGGGCCAATCAGGGGGTTGGGGCGCTGCCCTCTATCACCCACAGAGCAGGGCTGATCTGGGGGTTGGGGCGCCGCCACTCTCACACTCAGGGCAGGGCCGATGGGGAGGTTATGGCTCTACCCCATCACACACAGAGCAGGGCCCGTGGGGGGCGGGGGGGTTGGGGCGCCGCACCCTGTCACACAGAGAGCAGCAGGGTGATCAGGGGGTTGGGGAGCTCCCCCTTATTAGGCACAGAGCAGGGCTGATCAGGGGGTTGGGGCGCCTTCCCCTGTCACAAACAGAGCAGGGCGATAGGGAGGTTGTGGCCCAGCCCCCTGTCACACACAGAGCCGCAGGGCGATCAGGGGGTTTGGGCGCTGCCCCCTGTCATGCTGATCCTGGTGCCGGGAGGCCTCTCGGCTCCGCTGATCCTGGTGCTGGGAGGCATATTACCCTTTTACTATATAGGATAGAGGCCTGGTGCACGGGTGGGGGCTGGCTGGTTTGCCCTGAAGGGTGTCCTGGATCAGGGTGGGGGTCCCCACTGGGGTGCCTGGCCAGTCTGGGTGAGGGGCTGAGGGCAGTTTTCAGGCTGGCGGGTGACTGAAGCTCCCAACCACTCCTTTTTTTCTTTCTTTCTTTTTTTTTTTTTATTCTGGGCCAGCTTTAGCTCTGAGGCTTGGCTCCAGCTCTTAGGCCTCGGCTGCTGAAAGCAGGTATCTGGTTTGTTTGGGTTCTATAATCGAAACACTGTTTCAACTCCAGCTCTGAGATCCCGGCTGGCTGAAAGCAGGTTTCTGGGGTTTTGTTTAGCTTCTATATTTGTAACAATGTTTTTAGCTCAGAGGCTGGCAGTGGCAGGCGGGGAATGTTGGAGTCCTCCGTCACTGAAGCAAGCAAGCCTCATGTTCGTTTCAAGCTGCCTGGCTGCTGGCTGCCACCTTGGCTGGCAGTTAATTTGCATATCGCCCTGATTAGCCAATGGGAAGGGTAGCGGATGTACGGCTAATTACCATGTTTCTCTTTTATTAGATAGGATGTGTGTGTGTGTGTGTGTGTGTGTGTGTGTGTGTGTGTGTGTGTGGTGCCTGACAGGTGGCTCAGTGGTTGAGCATCAACCCATGAACCAATAGGTCATGGTTCAGGTCAGGGCACATGCCTGGGTTTTGGGCTTGACTCCCAGTAGGGGGCATGCGGGAGGCAGCCAATCAATGATTCTTTCTCCTCATAGGGGTTTCTATCTCTCTCTCCCTCTCCCTTTCTCTCTCTGAAATCAATAAAAACATAGAATGTTTCTTAAAAAAAAAAAAATAGTGCCTGGTGTAAAGTAGGTGCTCAATATGTATTTGGTGAATGGGGAGGCACCAGCACCCAGCTGGAGAGGGAGTTGTGGGGCTTCTTGTCCTGTGCACTCTGATTCTCTGTGTGTCTCCAAGCCCAGATGGAGTTTTCTTTGAAGGCAGGCTCCTGAGCCTAAACATCTTTGTAACTAAAGGTGACATGACAAATAATTAGCAACTAGTACTGTTATCGCCTACCAAGCAGTACAGGCAGCAGTGTTCTGGAGGCCTTATTTGAGCCAGGCCTTTAGTTGCAGGACCACAGGGAGGTTGTGATAGTGGGATGCCCGGAGCTGAGGAGATCATCTATTTACCAGCAGGAGCAGAGGTATCTCAGCATTTTAAACACCAGTGCCCCTGCTTCACATCCGGTGATTGCAGATGAGCTATTTCAGAAGCTGAGGTCCAGAACAGCTAAGCTGGTTGGCACTTTTGTGGCCATCCAGGTCAAAACCTCCTACCCCACCCCCACCACACTTCTCCAAATGAGAAAGGACCAGAGGGGGCCCAAGGTCAAGAGCTGATCAGAGGCAGTGTCCGGACATCAAACTAGCAGGTGAGGATTTGAATTTCTTTCTGAGAAAGGGCAGGGCAGCCGTATTCTAGCTTTCTGCAAGCCCCTGGAGCCTTTCCTGACCAAGGGAGGGGTGTATTCCATCCATCACATCTTCCCTGCCTTTCCTGCTAGGGACTGATCTCTCTTTCCAGAGCACAGGGGCGGATCTCCAGGTCAGGCTCAGGCAGGTGAAGTCACACTGGGAGGCACCCTTGATGTCAGGTGCTGGGTGAACTTTTCTTTGCTCCCACTTCAGCATTCTCCCCATTGCCACACCCGTCTTCCCACACCTCCAAGGATTCCCTGGAAGCTGAAGTGACTCAGGGATTCCAAAACTAGTCACCCCAGGAGGGAACCCTCTGGAAAATGTTTCTCATGTCAGGGAGTCACCCTAAGGAGTCCCACAGAGATGTTACTGAGATAAGGACGGAGGCTGAACAAACAGGGGTGGGTGGGGTGGGGAGGGGAGGAGAGGGGTGGCGCAGAGCACATGTTCTCTGTCAGGCCTGAGCATCCCTGGAGGAGACTGTGTGGGTGGAGGGACCCTGTCTCTGCCTTTCAGGGGTTTTCTCAGAGGAAGTCCTGCTATGGAGGCAGGGGACACCCCAAAGGTCTCTCCTGAAGGTCAATGGCCTGGGCAACCACTGTGGGTTTTTTGCAGCATCAGCAAGTAATAAGTAGCTAGAATCACTTCCAGCTCTTTTGAACACCCCCTCCTGAACTGGGGTGGGGGTGGGATGGGCAAGGTCAGGAGATCTGGGCCAATGTCAGGCTCTGAGGCTCTGATTGGCTTTGGGGAGACCCCTAAGGATTCAGGTCTTCTGGAAGAGCACCGCCCTCTCAGAGCCTTTTCTGGGGTTGGAGGCTGCTCAGGAACACCAAGAGGCTGGGGAAGAGGAGTGGGAGCAGTGGGTCCCAGCCAGCGGTGCTGAATGCCTGAGTGGGCAGGAAGGCCCTGTGACCTTGGGCAGGTGCAGGTGAGACCCGTTCCAGCCCAAGCCCAGGTGAGCCGGAAAGCACGTACTGAATGGACTTCCCTTCCCTTTGCAACCAATAAGGGCAGCACAGGGTGGCACCTCCATGCCAGGATCTTAGATTTGGAGTTGGTCAGGGCTGGGGTGGAAAACCAGCCTCGCCCCTTCCTGAGTGACCTTGAGGAGGTTACTCAATTTCTTTGGGTCTCAGTTTCATCCTCTTAATATGGGATAATAGGGATAATAGTTTTCGCCCCATGGTTTTATTGGAAGGTAAAATGAGCTGATGCACCTACAGGCCTTGGCACCGTCCTGGCACATGACCCCCAGGACTGAGGCCAGCAGAGCGTGCAGTGAGAGTGCCTGGGAGCACAGGGGCGGAGAGGGGCAGTGGGAGCATGGTGATGCCCCCTTACTAGTGCTCTCCTCAAAAGCCGCCACCTGTTTCCTCTGAGCCCTGTGCCATTCTTACTTCCAGGACCTTCACCACAGCAGCTTCCCACAATCCTCCAGAATGCCCCCTGACCTCATTACTGCTATGCTTTGGGGCTGCTTTGCCCCAAAGCAGCGATTTTCAACTCGTGTGCCTCAAGAATATTAAAACAGGCAATATCTGGCTAGTCAAATAGAAAAATGACAACAGGCAACACAACAATAACTGTTGGGTGTGAATGAATCAAAATTATACCAATTATTTTTGTCAGGTTGGCAAAAGATAGGATATATTTTTTGGTATGCTGCAGAATTTTAGTAATTAGTTTATGTGTGCTATGCGACGAAAAAGGCTAAAAATCGCTGCCCTACAGCATTTGAAGGATTCCTCCTCACTCTATAGTTAAAATTATTCCTGGTTCTCTTTGTTTACTTCCGGTGTCCTGGGTTACGAGACGAATACTTTCTAAGGGAAAGCACATGCAAATCAGGGATCATCATGCTAGAGACCATGTCAACACACGGTGTGTAGGCGTGTGTGTATGGGGGGTGTCCTGGAGGATGTTTGAGGGGGGTCAATGGGCAAGGATGAAGAGACAAGGCATGGAGGGAGTGGGCATGGACTGCTCAGTGCCTCTCAGGCTGGATGGTCCCTGGCTGACCTGTGTCTTTGGGGTCAGGCCCAGCTTGAGCCATTGTGAAGCACACAATCTCGCCTTTCCCCCATCCCTGCCCCAGCTGACAGTGGCCCATGCAACTGGGGGCTCTAAGGCTGGGTCATGGCCTAAGAACAGCAGCTACCCCTACAATGACCTTGTTCCAATGGCCTTGTGATTGGGGTGGGGGAAGGCTGGTTCCTGGAACTGGGGGCCTCCTGTTGGGTCTTAGGTGGGGGAGTTACCAGGCCCCCCCTCTTCTTGGCTTTACTTTCTCATTTGTGCAATGGAAACAGACACCCACAGCTTCTTCCATCAGACCCTGCGCATCCAGCTGACAAACTGATGGGATGGGAGCCTTTTTGGCAGTCCTGTGGGATTAGGGAAAGGGTGGGGGTGGGGGGCCATGGGGTTTGTGCAGCCTCTGGAGCAGGTAATGGATGATGGGGAGAAGTCATAGATGATGGGGGTTGTAGAAGTTGGGGTCATTGAAGATGAGGAAGGGGCCAGAGAACAGAAGGGTTAATGGTCACAGGAGATAGAGTGGAAATTTCACTAAGGTGGTTGATCAGGGGGACTTCTGAGAAGAAAGGGAATGATGGAGATAAGACCCAAGTGGGAGCAGCAGAGACCATGGAAATGAGGCTTCTTTAAGAGAGGCCAGAAAATGTTCCCTAATTTTGGCTGCCAAGCCAACCAGGGAAATTCCCATAATGCCAGTTTTCAAAGTCTCAGAATTGCAGAATACTATTGCTTTGACCTCATACAAAGAATAAAATTTACCCAATAGGTTTCCAGGCTTACAATTATGTTCATCACAACTTCCATGAGTAGAACATTTTAAGCAGCTCTGGAAACACTGTCTGGTTTTCTTTGGTTTTGTTTTGTTTTTTAATCTCAGGTCACTCCCTCCAAAAGGTAGTGGAAATAAATTTGAATAAACAAAACAGGTTTGCTGAAAATAAAACCAGGACTCTCAACTGCTCCAGCCAGCCTGCCTCCACAGGGCCCTGCCTATCAGCCTGTACAGCACTGCGCTGGGCGAGCAGCATCTGGCAGCCGGCATGAACCAGGTGAGTGTGCGGAGGCTCAGTGGGGAGGGTGCCAAGTAGGAAAGCCGCAGGATGTTGCTGTGTGTGGAGGGAGGCTGGGCTCCAAGGTTTGGGGCTGGGGGTCAGGTGAAGCTAGAATCCAGGACCTTAGGGAACATCTGGGAGAGCGGAACCCAGACTAGATTGGAGCAGTTCTCTCACTGGCCTTTTCCTACAGGTGGTTGCCTTCTTAGCAATAGTCATGGGAACACACACCCTCAATATTCGGCCTCAGAAGGACTGCATCCACTGGCCCCGCTGCTTCTCCATCAAACAACAGGACTCCGCTGAAGAGCTGAACACGGTGCTCACACCTCCCCCAGAGATTGAGAGCCACCACCCAGTATCCTGCAGGGCCAGCGAAGATGGACCCCTCAACCGCAGGTCCATCTCTCCATGGAGATATGTGTGAGTCCACTGTCCCCTCCCGCATGCTTGCCAGGCAGGGTGTGTCTGCGGGGCCAAGGGCGTTGTACCCAGTTCCAACCTACCTGCTACTTTTTATCTCAGAGGCCATAAAGGTTTGGGGGTTAGACAAAGCTTAGTCTGGGTCCTAGCTCTGACTCTTATTGGGCAACCTTGGGCCAATTACTCAAGGTTTGAAAGCTCAGGTTTTTTTCATCTGTAAAATAAGATAATACTGCATAAGTCTATGTGCAGATTGCATGAAATAATATATGTAAAACCTATATTTAGTACGTAAAATATTGGTTCTCTCCTTTACTCCTGCTCCTCCTCCACCTCTACAATGGTCATGCTTTTCTAACTAGAATATCAGGGAATCTTAGTATGATACAGATGCGAAGCATCTCAATAGCAATGCTCTGCACTGGGATGTGAGTGGGTCATAAATATACCAGGACAATGAAACCCCCAACTCGGGGGCAGCTGGGTGGCTGCTGACTTTGGATCATGAGCAGGCTTATTCTTTCACTCAGTGCCACACAAATATATATATAAAGTGTAATATGCTAATTAGACTGGACGACCTTCTGGACAAAGCCGGGGTTGCAAGGGAAGCCCGGGTCCTGAGTGCCAGAGGGAAGCTGGTGCTGGCAGCCGGGGGAAGGAAGGCCTACACTTGCACGAATTTCATGCATCGGGCCTCTAGTATATATATATAATTTTAATCCTCACCTGAGGATATTTTTTCCATTGCTTTTTAGAGAGTGGAAGGGAGGGAGGAGGGAGGGGGGAGGGAGAGAGAGAGAGAGAGAGAGAGAGAGAGAGAGAGAAAGAGAGAGATATCGACGTGAGAGAGACACGATGGTTGCCTCCTACATGTGCCCTGACCAGGGCCGAGGATCAAACCTGTAACTGAGGTATGTGCCCTTGACCAGGAATTGAACTGGCAACCCTTAACTCCTTGGGCTGATGCTCTAACCACTGAGAAAAACCGGCAAGGGCAACAAATATCATAATTCTCTATTTGTGCCACGATGTGAAAAATATTAGGAAGCACTGAAATCAGGACAGTGAAACAAAATACTAAAAACTAGGCCTTAGGGATCCCCCCAAATTTCTCCTTCTGTCTTGTCCTCATGGGGTGCCTGTGTCCCCACTCCTCATAAACCTAGGCTGGCTTAACCTTAGCGTTGGGGATGGAAAGAGAAGTTCAGTGGGTAGGGAGAAGGTTGGCTCTGATTGAGACTGGACCCAGGGTGGAGTCTCCGGTCACCATGCTTTGAAGTGGTGGTCTCAGGAGGTTGGCCGGGCCCTGGGAAAGCTGCGGGTCAGTTGGCTAACTCGGCTGGGGTCCAGACCTGTCGTTGGGAGGCTGTGAGCCCCTGGAAACCACTCAGGTGGCCTTTCCCAAAGTGGCTTCTTTGCAACACTCCTCCCACAAGCTGCTCCTCAGAAAAAAAGTGATGATGTCAAGCAAGTGTGGGTAAAGCTACTTTAGCCCTGCCCCGCTTGGAGACTCAATGTGCTCAGCACATTAAAGTCTGAGAGGAGTCTGCAGAAAAGAAACCATTAAACTCACCTGGCCACCCTTCTCTTGCAAGGAACCTAACAGGGAACTCGCTTTGGAAAATGCAATGCTAGCGGAGCCCCAGCTTCTGCGGGCTTCTGCGTGGAGAATGGTCTTACAACCTAGCAGCTATTTCCTGCTAGGCTTCTGGAATCCCAGGCCTGTGGAACTCCTACTTTTCACCTGTTTGGACCACAAGATCCTTTCAGAATAAATAAATGAGTCTCACCGTGCCCTCTAACATGTGCTTATAATATGTGCACAGTGTCCGGAGGAAGTGCAGGAAATGGTTGACAGTGGCGCCCTCTGGGGAGTGGGACTGGTGGGGAGATAAGACTATTAGTCTTATATATATATATATATGACTAATGGTCTTCTATCTATTAAATATATATATATTAAATTAAGAACAGTTTTTACTTTTATAATTAAAAACATCCTAAAATGTAATAACAATTACAAAGAGAAACCTCATGCCAGAGTCCAGTGTGTACATCAGATGAACGTGGAGCTGGTCTGGTGGCCGGTTGGAAAGCCACGCTTCCATCCTGACCCTCACGCTGGGGAGGAGGGGGTGATTTGTTCAAAGTCACCCGGCACGTGGGTGCCAGAGCTAGGGCAAGAAGCCAGGCCTCCCGACCACACCATTTCCTTCCTCTGACATTTCCACCCACACTGGGCCCAGGCCCTGTCTGCCCAGCCAGCTTCCCTCCAAGGCCTGACTGACACATGCCATCCCCACAGGTTGGACAGGGACTTGAACCGGCTCCCTCAGGACCTGTATCACGCCCGTTGCCTGTGTCCACACTGCGTCAGCCTACAGACAGGCTCCCACATGGACCCCCTGGGCAACTCGGAGCTCCTCTACCACAACCAGACCGTCTTCTACCGCCGGCGGTGCCCCGGAGAGCAGGGTGCCCATGATGGCTATTGCCTGGAGCGCAGGCTCTACCGTGTCTCCTTTGCTTGTGTGTGCGTGCGGCCCCGTGTGATGGCCTAGTCATGCTGCCCAGGGCTGGCCTCCGGTCGGAACACTGGAGCTGGGCGGACAAGCATGTGCCAGGGTGAGCCAGGACGCCCCAGTGCTCAGCCCCCCCCCAAAGCATCATCTGGAGCAATAGGATCGTGGGACAGGATAGGGACCTTAGAGGAAACACACTTTGCACTTTTTGGAGTGGATGGGAAGTGCAGGTGAAGCGAAGGGGGCAGCAGCTGCTGTGGCTGCTGGAACTGGCATCCTGATTTCCTCCCATCAAGCCCTGCGCATTCCAGGAGGCCACCGCCTGGCTCTTCCTTCCCTCCCCTTCCCAGCTGCCCTCGTGAAGCACAGGCACTTTCTTGATATTTTCCCTCCTGCCAACAAAGAACCCCTCATTTCATTCATTTGTTCATTCATTCATTCATTCATTCATTCATTCATTCATTCATTCAACACTCTGAGCATACTAGTCTCTTGACATGGTGACTCTGAGGACTAGGTTGTTATTGAGCATGGAGAGACTTATCCAAATAAATAATCTGTATTGAAAAGTGGCTTAATTTGTCTTCGGCATCCTGGTGCCTGAGCATCTTCTGGCACCAGCCCAGTCCCTTGTCTTCCCCATGGTCAGCCCTCACCTACCGCTCTCTCCAGAGTTTCCGCTGTGGCCTCCCATGCCTCTCCTTCTCTGGCTCCCTGGTCCACCCCTGAACACCGGGATGAGGGTCAGGCCATCCCCCTGGCATGCTGGAGAGACAGAGGCCCATTGAGGCACTGCAGCAAGAACACAGCACCCCCTTGTCCCCCCAACAATCTGCTTTTGTCCTTCATCTTGGCTGCTACAGCTGGGTCCTGGGGGTGCTGCCTGGCCGGGCTCCAGCTCCCACCCTCCCTAAAAGGAAAAGGGAGAAAAGATGGGCCAAGGAAAAGGGTTAAGGTTAGGGGAGGGGACACAAACTTCTTCAGGCTTAGGTCCTTGGGGGTTCCTAGTCCAGCCTGTTTCTTGGCTCCACTCCCAACTCCTCCCGGTCTCCACAGACCTCCTCCTCTTCGCCCGCCCTCCTCCCTTCTCCAAGTCCGGGGAGGGTTGGCCACTCCTCTACAGCCTCTCCCCTCCCCTCCCCACCCTGTGGGGGCTGGTGCAGGCACCAGCAGGGCCACTCTGGGCAGCTGGGTGAAGGCCCATGTGGGCAGGCCTCCCCAGCGGCGGCTGCCTTCTCCCAGGACCCCACAGCAGGCCTGCGCGCTTCACTTTCAGGTTTCTCAAGTGCCTTCCTTCTCTTGTCTGCTTCCCCATCTGCCAGGTTTCCATCTTCCTGTTTCCCTTCCTGGGCTGCTGGCAGTGAGGGGCTGTGCCTGGTGGCCCCTGGAGATGCTCAGTGCTCTGGATCGCCGGGACCGGGCCCCTGAAGAGGGGGCAGCTGCAGGGCTCCAGGGCTTCGCTGTGGACAAGACCTTCCTCTCCTCCCTCAAAGGCATCCTGCTGGAAACTGAGCTGGTAACAGCAGCCACCCCAACCTGGCACCTCCATGTCTCCTAGCCCTGGTCCCCCTGCCCCACCCACCGCCCCCCTTCCCAGGCTTTCTGGGCACCCCTCTACCCCCAGCTGCCCCTCCTTCATCTTCTCCCTGCCTGCCTGCGGCCTCTCTTCTGGAGGCAGTTACAGCCGGTTTCAGCTGTGGTAGGCAGATTGAAGGTAGACAGGACAGCTTTCTGGGACATCGAGGGAGTGCAAGACACAGGGACAGGGTGGGGGGAGCACCAGCCTGTCTTTCCCGGGCTCTAAGATGGCCACTTCCTGGCATGTCCAAGAAGCCCAACTATCGAAAAGGGCAGACTGCCTGCAGCCCCGTTGTACTGTTGTCTGCTCCTCATGAACATCTGTTCCCAGGAAAGAATCTTCCTGTAGTTACTTAGTTACTCGCCTTCTTGTAAAGGCGAGTCTTCTGCGTAGGTGCCCCCGACAGTGCCAGAGCCGACCGGGCCCCAGAATCCACTGTGGGGCATTTTGTCTTCTAACCCTTGTCTCTTGCCTTGGCTCTGGGCCTTGTTGGAGGAGTTTGAAGCATTGGGAGTGGGGAAAGGATTATGGGGCATGGGCTGCTTCCTGGGGCAGAGGATGCCAGGGGCTGCGGTTGTGCTGTGTTCTGTGCCCCAGCAGGACACCAAGCTGCCCGGGCTACTGGGATGGGCAGGGGCAGGTGGAGGCTGGTCATCCCTAAATTAAAAGATTCACCTGGGCTGGCAGAGGTGGGAGGCTGGAGACTACCCCTGGGCAAAAGCCCTGCAAGTGGTTCCGGCCACCAGGGGTGGGGAGACCTTGAAGGACAGTGGTGGGGGCCAGCCTGGGGGTACCCTTGAGGAGGAAAAGTCCAAGGCCAGGCCCTGCCTGTGTCCCCTTCCTGGCAAGTCCACACACTTGGTCCCGCAGGCCCTGACCTTCATCATCTTCATCTGCTTCACGGCCTCCATCTCCGCCTACATGGCCGCCGCACTGCTCGAGTTCTTCATCACCCTCGCCTTCCTCTTCCTCTACGCCACCCAGTACTACCAGCGCTTCGATCGGCTGAACTGGCCCTGTCTGGTGAGGGACCCCTCTCCCCCGCCCTATTCTTCTCCTCTGAATGCAGAGTTTTCCTTTCCTCTCCAGCCTCTCCCCTTTTCCTGGGTCCCTCAACCAGACAGGGCTTTGCCCCAAGCTGTGCCCTGTACTCAAAAACTGCTTAGACCACACTGATTCCCAGCTGCCGGGTCACTGGCAGTGAGGACACACATCCTTTAAAAACTTTTTTTAGTTGATTTTTTAGAAAGAGAGGAAGAGAGAGGGGAGAGACAAACATCCGTGTGAGAGAGAAACATCCATTGGTTGCCTCCCGTATGTGCTCGACCAGGGATCGATGCTTTAGGATACAGGAAGACACTGCAACCAGCTGAGCCACACCGGCCAGGGCAGGACACACCCCCTTTAGTTCTGCTCTCCCACTCATCAAAGGCCTAGTCCCAGCCCCAGCCCTGCCCCTTGGCCTCAGCTGCTGAGCCTGGGTCAGCTGCAGCCCAGGCCCCTGGCTTTCTGTCCTGGTCACTCTGCATTCCTTCCCTGGAGAGCACGTGAGCTCCCTCCCTCTTTTCTCTTAAGTGCTGCATGTAGTCTCCAGGGGTGTCTTTACGCAGGAATTCAGTGCTCGAGGGCCAAGTGCTGACTAGCCTGGAAAAGTTCAGGGGAATGCTCCTGCTCTCTGACTTCCCTTTGATTTGGAACCTCGACCCCCCAGGACTTCCTCCGCTGTGTCAGTGCCATCATCATCTTCCTGGTGGTCTCCTTTGCAGCTGTGACCTCCCGGGATGGAGCGGCCATTGCTGCTTTTGTGAGTCCAGACCCCCAGAGCTCTCCAGTTCCCCAAGGACCTCTAGCTGGTGCTACTCACTTCCTGTGCCCCTGCCCCCAAACCAGTGCCTGAGGCTCTGACCCACACTTTGCCCCCACCCACCCACTCTCTCTCCCTAATACTGGATGGGCTTTGTGGTGCCATCCACACTCCTGCTCCACAGGTTTTTGGCATCATCCTGGTTTCCGTCTTTGCCTACGATGCCTTCAAGATCTACCGGACTGAGATAGTGCCCAGGGCTACTCAGGGTGAGTGCCTGAGCTCTGGGAGAGGAGGTGCCCTTCACCCCCTGCCCCAGTGGCCCCAGCCTTACATGCCCTTTCCTGCCTGGCTCCATCTTCACAGGGGACCAGCAGTGACCCAGGACTACAGCCGGAGCAAGGGGACAGTGGAGCTCAGGCACATCTCTCTAGGATTCACTAGCTCCCTAGCCCACTGTCCCCACCCCAGATCGACAGAGATGGAGACTGGCCTGAGAAGTCACGTGGACCTGTTTGTGGGCCTGGTGCTCTAAGATCCAACTCCTGAGGAAGCTGGGCTGAAGAGGGGTATTATGGAGAGAGGAGTGGGTAGGAGGAAGCTGGTCATTTCCAAATTAAAAGATTCAAATCCTACTGGTCAGTCTTTTTCTTCCCCAGAAGTTAGACATATCAGGAATCCAGGGAACGATCATGGAAATGCTGCCTGGATGGTCCCTTCTCTGGGACTTGGCCTCAGCACTGAGGAAGTGGAGCTCTAGACTGAAGATGCTGAAGGCATCCTTCAACACAGACTTCCATTCCACAGCTCTCTGTGTGCAAGGGCACTTTGTGGTGTGCCTGGTGGCTGGGCACCTGGAGTTCTGTGAGTAGGAACAGCCTTCCAGATGTGAGTGCCCATCTGCCACTCCTGTGTACACAGATTTGTTAGCGGGTTTGAAAGTTGTTTGCCTGGAGTGTGTTAGAGCTCCCCCTCGTGGTGTGGGGAGGACTTGGCCTGCAGGCGCAGGGGAGAGGTCAGCCTGTGGCTTCAGATGGCGGCCAGCCAAAGTTCCCAAAAGACAGTCACTGGAAGAGGCATTGAATATCAGCTCTCATTCCGCTGAAGAGAAAGCAGGCCTGGTTAGGGGACGTGACATCCTTATTTGTGACTTAGCTGGGACTAGAGCCCAGTGCTCCTAACACCTCAACTGGTGTTTGGTTACTGTACAGAGCCCCTTACTCGTTTATCTCAGAAAACATGGTCCAACCTCGCTTCCAGCTCCCGCCACCAGTGGGTCCACCTTCCCAGCTTGCCAGCACCCAGTAAATATTTCCTGAGCATCTTCTGTATGCAAGATCCCTGTGCTGGGCCCCAGGGCTTCAGAGGTGACAGGTGGGCCTGTCCTTTAAGACTGGGGAGAAGGCAGGCTAATGAAAGGTGGTCATGATTCCCCTCGATGAATGCTCTGGGAGAGCTCTGCTCAGGGGGAGTTTGGAGCAGGCACTGCCACAGCCCGGATAGCCCTGTGCAGCCAGGCTGTCCCCAGCCCACAGAATCCAGTGTGGCCTAGCTCAGCAGCTCATCCAAGCTGACTTGCTATCTCCATTCTCTAATGCTTGTTTGCTCCTATCCTGAAATGCCTTCCTTCTTCTGAGGTGCTCCTTCTAGATGCAGGCCCTTAAGCCCTGCCTGGGACTTAAGTCTACCCTGGCCTCTGGTAGAGGTGCTCTGCTCCCCTTGGTAATAACCACAGGTCTCTTGATCTGACTTCTCTGGCCTCCTGCTTCTTGTGCCATTTTGGTGTGTAGCCCAGTGGTCGGCAAACCGCGGCTCACGAGCCACATGCGGCTCTTTGGCCCCTTGAGTGTGGCTCTTCCACAAAATACCACGTGCGGGCGCGCACGTACAGTGCGATTGAAACTTCGTGGCCCATGTGCAGAAGTCGGTTTTCGGCCTGGGCGAGTCTATTTTGAAGAAGTGGCGTTAGAAGAAGTGGGGGGTGTTGGTCGGTGGGGCGACGGGAGACACGGCGCGGGGGAGGTACATTGTTTTGAGGTACATTCGCTGAGGTCGACCCCTTCCAACTCTCCCATGATAGACGCGTGTGGATGGGAGAGTTGGAAGGGGTCGACCTCAGCGAACGTACCTCAGTCAGATTGAGGACGTTTTTAGCAAAGGCCAGCTTAGGAGTACCCTAATTAAGTTAATAACAATGTACCTACTATATAGTTTAAGTTTAAAAACTTTGGCTCTCAAAAGAAATTTCAATCGTTGTACTGTTGATATTTGGCTCT